GGCCCGGCTGAAATATTCGGGCGTCAATAAAGGTCAGCTGTCAACTTAGAGTAGTGCCTGAAGATTACTCCGTTCGGCTATAAACGACTGTTAAATGGAATGATGAATTGTTGAAGGATTTTGAAAACGGAAAAAATGATAGTCATGCCGGCCCAGCATCCTCAACGTTGAAAAATGCCCCGGTTCGAAGTGGTTAATCCAAAAAGCCTGCTGATCCTACGACTGGGACATTTTGGAACATACAATCTTTTTGAACTAATGTTTGTGGGAGTTTATCTGAATATGAAGCCTAAAAGTTTGAACAGAATGTATTAAACAATCTTTGCAAATGCCTTCTTGTCAATTTTCTATTTGCTCAATCTTATCTCCCACGATCTTTTCTCAAAGGACCTTCCTGAATCCTCCAAAATCCTCCACTGTGGAGGAAACCACTGAACACACTCTTTGCACATCAACTTTCAAAAGAATTCAAGTCTCGCATAGAATAACTGTGCCTTGGCTCCATCCTTCTCTTTCCTACATCATCCCAAACACCTCTTTGGTAGAGTTTGTAAGATCTTAGAGAGCAGTGGTTGGAACAGTTTGCCAACGACACCATGGAAAGACCTACTTTGGTGGCTGGACACACTCTGAATGTCTGCAGCCTCTTGGGAATGATGCGGAGGTAGAACTCTTTGACAGTCAGCTGTTTGGGTGAGATATAACAGTAAACCTTCTTTGGCCGCCGTTGCTTAGCATTGTTGTGGGTCAGCAGTGTGGCCTCGTACCCTTCGGTGCTCTTCTTGTCCAAGTTTTTCTTAACTTTTTCAGCATCATTCTCTGTAGCAACAGTGGTATCCACATAGGGTTCAATGTTGTTTCAAGTAAATGCAACCGCAGATACCACATACATGTAGGTCTCTCACAAATGACGTTGTTTCTTACAGATAGCCACATGCATCAGCATTTTTTACTCTCTGTTATTATAAGCAGTTGCAATTTTTCTACAACGAAGGCGTCCAATAAGAGAGATCTATACCACTTATATCTAGTTTGATAAAACAGTACAGCAAATCAGTGAATGTACATGTATTTTGGAAGCAATCAGGAAGAAATTTTCTTGGCACCTTCGTCCTACCGATTTGTAAACACACATCTACAAGTATATGGCATGTATGGTGGCAGTGTGAATCGTCCACACACATGTATTTACAGCATTCTAAGTTTGAATTAAAAAGGGAAGTATTAAACAAGAAAATACAAATAAAACTGGGTACAACCAAAGCTGTCCAAATTGAAAACGTGGTGATCAAATGTTTACACCCTTTAAGCAAGAAAGTAGACTCATGGAGTAGGGTTATTAAAACCATGAAAGCAGGCTAAGAAATACAAAAACTACCTGCAAGATGTTCAATTTATGTTTGTGTGTGTGTGCATAGTATTCTGATTGGCACAGTGACCCAAAACATCTGGTCCAAGAAGCAAAACTAAAACCTTCTGTATCTGAAGAACTCAGAAAACATGGAAATAATGAATCCCCACTACACGGTAACTTAGAAGCTATTCAATGTTTTGACATTTTGGCATGGTCCCTCTCAGAGGCAATCGCAAACACAGAAATGAGCTTACCAGACAATACAAGAATATTAAACTCGCCGTTGCTCAACTTTTCCTTTCTGTAGGTGACCAAGGCTTTGTAGCAGCCAGTCGTCTCCATGCGCACACGCAGGGCCAACTGCCTGTCTTGGCTCGGTTTTACCTCGTAATGTGGTTTTTTACTGTCAAAAGTATCACTGCCAATCTGCGAATACAAAACCATTTCAAGTCAGGATTCTCCAGGGTTGTATTTATTTTTAAAAATGATTTTCAATATTTTCTGGTTGCTGATGAAAGTGATGAAAACTTTTAGATTTTAAACATTAACATGCATTTCAACCTTTGGTGATAATGTTGCCTGGCTGGCAAGCAGAATTCCAGGTTTGAGCTACAGAGTGGAATGACAGAAAATTGGGGTTTCATTTGGCATAGCTTCCCTAAGTTAAGATTTTCACAGCACTAGAAACAAGACCATTCACAACACCAGCCACAAGGAGCGAGGAGAATGACGACAATGAAGTCCTGCTGTGTTGGTCTTCTGATTATCTCAAGGGGTCTTGCGTTGATCTTGAAAGGTTTCAAATTTCGACTGCAATACTTGACGTGTATTTAAGCGATCTGTCAAAAATCCTTCAAATTATGAAGATCTGTACAATTTTTAATACTGCATGACAACACAGAAAATGAACTACATACAATAACTGGGTCACCTGCTATCAACATTTCACATCAAAGATTGAAACCTAAACAGATGAGTTTTTAAAAGGGGTCTTATATGGAAACATCAAATTTAAGGGTTGTTTTTCAATTCTAATCTTTAATCAAATGACACATTACACAAACATTTGCCTAAATGTACCTCTGTGACTTGCAAACAGTAGTCATCAGTCTTGTTCCTGTCGCCCCTGTTTGTGTCCAGGCTGGTTAAGCAGGGATTGCCAAACTGGTCTCTAGGCTCAATAAACAGTGGACACATGTGACCGCGGGTCACTACCATGGTGGAGCTGTGCCGCACAAAGGCTGATTTAGAGGGATCCACTGGACCTACAAGTACAAGATTTGTTTCAGCTGTGGACTTAATGACAGGGGACTAATTGCACAGAAAACCGTTAAGCACAATGCCGGGCACAAAATATGTGTTCAGTAAAAACTGGTTACCAATCCAAGTGCCGTTCCAAATGTATTACATGTACATAGGACTGGTTCTTCAATACATTTTTGGTTAATTGACCTGACAGTCCTAAGTTCTTCACTGGGTTGGAGGATCGAGGATTGTCAAGTTAAGCAATATGTTTTCCCTTGATAAACTTACTATACAGTACAAGCAAACACTTTTCCTTCAGTCACGTCTCAATTGTTAGCGTTTGGTGTAAGGTCCGCTCACTGTTCACGTGTCCTCACTTATTTTCTAGTTTCTATTTTTACTATTACATTACTTGCAGCACAGATGATTTCCACTGAACCTTCTCCTACCTGGCAGGAAGTTCATTCTGTAGGGACTGCCTCTGATGTTCATCTGGCCTAAGCGAACAGTGATTGTGTACAGCCCGGCCCGACGAACCGTGAAAGAAGCTTTGACTTCGTTGATTGTGCCGTACTCTAACGAGCAGGCAACGCGCTGCTGACTGACCGTGATCTCAATGATAACTGGTAGGCTGTTGTCTCGGTTGATGATGTAAGGCCTTCGATTCCGCTGGAAAAACTGCAGGAAAATGAACAGAAAAAAAAAAGCTACGGGCAACTTCAAGGTTGCTGGGACTAATCAATTTACTATTGTAACCAGAAGCTTACTGCAAACAAGCCAACAAAAAAAGGAAAAAAAACAACCAAGTTGAAGAGACTGGGAACTTTAGAATATGCTTTTCGCACATGTTCGAAAAGGGTTTCATTAAGAGTGCTTTTTTATGGATAATGGACTGCAACTATGGACCCTATTCATACGTAACTCTTGGATCACACAGCCCGAAAGGTCAAAGGCTAACTTTCTCCCTGTCTTGATCCTGGTCTGATAAAGGTAAACACTTGCCTACCATAAGTTGTATCCATGTTATTTGTGTGCTCAGGAGGGCACAACTGTTAACAGAACTAACAGGCTCAAGCACACGCACTCATACATGTACATATAGGTTTCAGGACTAGGAGTATTCCAAAAATGAGTGTCCCATAACATACATTGCTGTCGATAATATCGTAGGGGGGGATAATCAAATTCTCTACCTTGATCACAAAGCTCATTGTTTCTCCCACAATGGCCGGTTCCGCCCAGCCCCACTCCACCTTACAGCAGTTGACGTCCAGCAGACTCCCTGTGATGTAGTTGAGGATGGAGGAGGGTCTCTCCCGGCCCTGCTGCTGGGGGATTCCCCGGGCCAACTGGTAATTTCCCCACACCCAGAAGCAGAGCAGACCCAGGGGCATGGTCAGGATGAGCAGGCGATCTGATGGGGAGAATGGTGCAGGTAAAGACGAGTAAATTGGACGGAAGTGTTCTGTGTGGACTTTCAACTTTTCCTTGAGATCCTGCATACATGTAACTCAGGCTTCAGTCTCAGACTAAGGTATATGCACTTGACTCCAATTTGAATGCAAGATGCATGTAAATCTAATTGATATTCACCTGAGTGGTAATGAATTAAGACTACATGGGCCTGGGTCTTACATGTGTACATCAGTAACCATGCACCTGCATTGTACATCTCTGACATGCAGATTATTCTATTAACACATCAGAACCACAAGTTTTATTTCATTACACTGGCTCTAACTTCATTCAAACAATCCTTTAGACCCCATTGTTGGATTACAGGAGAACACAAGGTTGTAATGCCTTGAGTTTGTCATGGATCAGAGTTTTTGAATGAGATATACCCTAAGTGTTTGTTGAATCAGCCATACAGGGAAATGTATTACTAATACATGTGGTTACTGACTCTACATGTATTTAGAAGATAGTACATGTCTATGTAACCTTATGACTCAGTCTGATGTTGCTGTGCGGGCCACAGTACGCAACACATGAACAGACCAAGATGTGAAAAGTTAGACAAAGACTGCAGGCTTTGGACTCATACAGTACTTACTCTAATGCATGGGAATAAACTTGCAAAGACTACACAATGAAATACAGAAAAGTACCCAACTGTATGCTGAAATGTTTAATTTTTCAATTTTCAACTCCATGCACTTAACACTTTTTCCCTCACAAAAATTTTAATAATTGCAACAAAACACATACTCTGCCACAGCATGGATTATGCGCTTACCAAAAATAAAAAAATCCTTCATTTTCTGAACACTGGAGAATGTTGGATTCAAGATCAGTTGTCTCCAACTGTCCTCAACTGCAAGTTCCTTAATGCCTTCCCTCAGCAAGTAGGTCTCAAACTCTGTTGTCTTCAAGTACGTGATGAGATGAGAAATCTCCTCTTGTGTAAGCATGGCAAGCTGTCTCACACTAGTATACCCAAAATGTGAGCCTCTTTGAAATAAAAAGAAGGACAGATTCCATAAGGTTCCTATGCACAGTCAAGGAAAGCTGAATTAAAGCCAAATTTGGACTCCCCCCCCAAATAAAACTATTAACTACATTTAGAAATTCCCTTTAATGAACTCCCAAGGTATTCTCCAAAGACATCGGCCAAACCAGGTTTGAGTATGCACATGGTCAGGCAATGTGCTGTATCCAGCATGATCAAGTTTCAACAATGAATCCCAGCCAATACAACACAACCAAACACAGTCAGATCGCGAGGGTTCTTGTGGTGTGTTCAACTACAGGGCTCACGTCTGGAAGGTCCAACAGAAATCCCTTGCTGTTGGCCTTGACACTGCGACATGTACAATCTATGAACGACACTCAAGCCCACATGTCTCAACCCAGACCGCAGACTGTACTGACTGCTCAACTCTCTGTAAGTGAAGAAATCTACATGAATGTCTTCCGACTGTAGCCTTGCAACTCACCCAAATAATGTACATTTAAGGCCTCCTTTTCTGACAATACACATGTACATGTATGCAACTACCATAGAATGGCATGGTGAAGCTTTGAATGCACCAAAGCATACGTATTTTCTCCTGGAGTAAATTCTTTGAAACCCAAAATGTCAGGTTCAGATCTTTTTCCACTTTTTATTTCATCTGTGTGCATATCATGGCAATACAGAATATCTGACAGGAAAAAGAAAGAAAAATTAGAAACATACAGTACATTCCTTCAATAATTTATTTTATCTATTCCATCAAACCTGTGATCTTATCATTTACATGAAATTATCCTCCTGCAGACAGATAGCGCGAGCAACTCAACCTCCTGTGGATCAACCTGTTACAGTCATCAAAAACCAATTACCGAATGCACTCAAACCACTCGAATATATACATGTAATGTACAAACCTGTGTCGTTTCTGTTTGTGCTTATCCAACCATGCCTGAACATCGCCATGGTGATGCTGCAGTTGTCGTGAATCCAGCCACTGGAAGAGAAGCAGTGAGGAAGCCAGCTTCTCTGAGACTTGATGGATTTTGTTTCTCCCAGCGGCAGAGAGCTTCTCAAAGACTTCATGCTCCAGCAGATCTGGAGAGGCAAACTGCTCCAAGTAGCTAACACCTGCCAGAGGTCAAGGGAAAATCATTTCTCAGTGGATAATATTAAAAGTGTATTGTTTTTCAAAGAATGCCCCTGGGTGCCTGAATCTTAACCTTTCAGTCCCCCTCCCCAAAAAACCGAAATACATGTAAAAAAGAAACTGACAGACATACATACATGACATACCGGTACATGTACATGCAAATGTACCAGTATGCAGTTTTGAGTATTTTCCTGAATACACACAAAAAAATTCACACATGTGCAATTATAGTGTAAATAATGTACATTGCACATGTACACATGTGCATGTACTGGTGCATGTCCATATACTAGTAGATTTCAATTTTATATCAAAACTCTAATCCTTAATACATAAATAAAAAAATTTTCCAAGTTTTCTTAAAAAGTTATACTGGACATTATTTTGTATGTTGTATTTACCCAGTAGCTGTGATATTCATTTCAAAGGCCCACAAAATATTCTAAGATCACACACTTTTGAAAATGGACTTCATGCTTTAGAAACTTATTTCACAAGAACTGTGCAAGTTTATTTAGAAATTAAACAATAAAATGTACAATTCAAATCCACTCAGCCAGGCTTGGTACTGTACATGTACATGTAAGTCTCAAACAAATGCACATGCTGGGGAAAAAGAAGGAAATTCATTTCAGAGAACGAGCTGCACACATCTCTGTTACAAAGAGAACGTATGGTAGTGAAGGCCAATGCAGATTGCAGTAGAGAACAGCACCACTGCACATACACTGTACACATACATGTACGTACATGTACACATGTACATGTACATGTGCTTAAATGTACATGTAAATGAATATTACATGTACATGTACATGTACAGTACACGTACATGTACTACAGGTACGCCGTACATGTACTTGTACGCACATCTTGAACTATTGTCTGTAGTATGCAATAGCACTGCAGTGATCAACCACAGAGCTCCATGGATCAATATACCCAGTATGTGTAAGATGCCACATGTACATACATACATATGCGCATGCATGTACATGAATACATGTAATACAAACACAATACAAAGCATTGTTTGAAATTTAATAATAAAGAAACAAATGAATACAGTAAAAAAATAGCACGAGGGAGGATTCGCTCGTTGTTCAGTGCCCAAACAGGGCGCTAGGAAGGGCTGATGGCCTTGCACAGATTTTAGTGAAGGAAATACATGTACATGTACATGTACATGTACATGTATGTTACATGGGGGTCACAGCTACATGTAACGACATGCAGAGTAAATTTTTGCCAGGCACTCATGCTTACTCAATGTGGCAGTTATCATTTCAATATTTTTCCTGAAAATATTCTCACTACACTTTAATAAATAATCCAAAATTGATCGAGATAACCCATGATTTAAAACATATTGTCAAAGACATTTATACATGTACATGTTGTCAATGGTACTTGGTGAGGAGATGAATTACCATGATTGTACAAAGGCCATGTTTTTATCATATGAGCAGTGATGAGTGTACATGTACATGTATCGGTAAGCCGACACTTTGACCTACATGTACATGTATGTGTAGTGTATGGCTAAGCACTGGCATTGGCTAACCAAAAACTTGAAATGACACTCTGCTAACAGGAAGTGATAACCTTGCGGTCGGAGGTCATGCACAAAGTAGCCAATCACAGTGCAAAGACATCGGATGCTGGGCGACGAGCGACGGGAGGAAGGGAGGGTAGAAGTACAGGTACATGTACATGTATTTTATCAAATTGTCACATGTGTATACCGGTGCCACATGTAGACTGTACATGTTTTTGTACATGTACAGTATGCAAAATTGACTGCTTTATCTCACGGTGTAGTAAAACTATGTTGTACACAGGTTAAAGGTACTGTACATGTACACCTGTACATGTATGTACAGTAACCTGCCTCAGTGGTCCATGGAGAATTCTATTTTCCCGATGCCCAAAAAAGCAGTTGGTACATGCATTTGCCTTATAACACCTCTCCAACAGATTCTGCTTGATTAAGTGATGACTGATTAATTTGATAAATTTTATATGAAATACATGTACATTTACATGCAACATACAAACATGTACAGTACATGTATCAGCTAGTAAATATGTACATTACATGATGTACACATGTACATGTATGCATGCACAGATACCGGCTTCTCTTCAATTGCATACATACATGAACATGTAAATGTACATTGTACATGTGCAACTTTACACACCATAAGGGGATGTGCACAAAACTTGTACGTACTGTACATTGTACATTGTACACATACATGTACTGTACTAAAAAATTTAAATAATTAGCCCTCCTTCTGTTTTAATCGTCAAAAACAGTCAAAAATGCCTTCCACTTGATTTCCCCCAGTACACAGACACATATGGGAAATTTGACTGATTTTGACTGATATCCTGGATATGACAAATGTGCCGAGAGTGTATCTTAGCATAGGAGGGTTAGTATTAATTGACTCAATTCAAACTCTTCATAATGACAATGTATACATTGGCATAGATGTGCATGCATGTTTTCCATACGCATACAAGTAATGGTACATGTACATGTACATTCAAATAGAAAAGCAAAATTCAATGAACTATATAGTGACCCCAGAGGCCTGATATTTCATTCCAGATTAAAAAGGGCCATTTCTACTAATCCCGTTTCTTTCCAATAAATTTTGTTAGGGGGTGTCCAACCACAGATTTGCACAGTACATGCTGACCTCAATTGTAGAGTCAAAAGTCAATTCATCTGCCCTTCCTTGGCCCTTCATTGTTCATTAATCCCTTCAACAAAGTCAAATGCCAACTGTGGCAACATGACCCTGTCCATACCCCTGCTGGTACATTACATTCAGTATCAATTCAAATCATAGCCTTCTGCATGTGCACAAGATTATGAGTCACAGCTGGCAGTTTGCAGGATGGAAACTCTTTCGTGTACATTGTACATGTACCAGTAATCGCTGCATAAAAGCAGAAGAAAAGCATTCAAATTTGTAATGAGGGAAACACTTAACTGTCGAGGCATTTGTCTCTTTGGCCAGTGGTTGGTCTGTCTGTTTGTCTGGAAGTGCTTTCTTGATCCTTATTTATTAGCCCGGTATACTCATCACTTCTCAGATGTAACATTTTTTACGGGTTTCTACATAGCAGACTGAAATATGACGAAACTGCTCATTGTGCTCTTGATGTTCTGGGGTTAGGAGTCCAACGTTTTAATTTCATGTCATAAAATTAAATAAACATTTTACAATTTAACACAATAAACTTTTAAATTTTTGATAATATAATGTATTAGTAATGGTTATCAAAGCAAGCATTACATGTACATGTATGTTTCTTCTTTTATTTGAAAATTTACAACATATCCTTTAATATTCAAATGTACTTGGACCATGCTCATCTTAATTTTAGTTTACCAATGACCTTGAAAACAACTGAACTTAAGTACACAGATAATGGGATAGAAAAAGTATTGGCAGGTGGGGTGGGTGGACAGAAAATGAAAACCTTGTTTTGCAATGGCCAGCTTTCTTAGAGGTGAGTCACAACGTGATAAACCTCAGCATGTAAACCCCATTCCCTCATACATGTACATGTTGAAAAAAAGCTCTTATGTGATCTTCTCCGGCAGGCAAATGTATTAGTCCCCAGAGACTTGTTTTATAAATATGACCCAATTTTCTTGCCCAAATTCATGTTTTAAATGATACTTTCAATAAGGACCTTTAGGTGCAATTGTTCCATAAGAGCCTTCTGGCACCGACATAATGTACCGGTACATGCAAGTGTACTCAGGTGTACATATCTACTCACGAACATGCACTAATATGCACTGTTGGGCAGTATACGAGTATCACCTACCAGCACTGGAGAAAGTGGATTCGTAGTGAGTCAAGCCGTGTTCTTTGATGAAGGAGTCAAATTCACTCTGTTTTTGCCAATGGACAGTAGCTAAACCCAGGACTATTGCAAGAAGTACCACACCCACAAAGCAAGGCCACCAGTGGGTCTTGACTGCCATTTCTAAATGAGAAGAAAATATAGGAAATCATTTCAAAAATACATGAATGTGCCAGCAATTGTAGGTGGTCAATGTCACTTATTTGTTTTGGGGAGGTTTCCTTATTTTCCATACTTGTACACGTAGGACATTGTACATACATGTATGTACTAGCTCTTTTTCTTTTTGTTATTTGTGGCTTTTGGGACTTTTGGGAGGAAAAAAAACCAAAATTATGTTAGGCCTACATTGTAAGTCTGAATTCCATCCAGGGAATGCATTTACAAATTAACGCTAATGTAACATTACATGTACATGTACATGAACAATGTATGTCAGCATAGAACCAGATGAAAATTTGCCACGCTAAGATTTGCTAATTATCCAAAAACACTCACAGCAAGTATTCAGTTGCTGTGCCAGTACAACAGCAATAGCAGATCAGGCCTGTGAACCAGTCAAATATCCACTGCGTTTTCTTGGCAGGAAACTGTTATTACATGTACATGTAACTCAATATTATCTTTCTTTTCATTAAGGGCCTAATGCATACATGTATGTCACACCGTCTTGATTCCAATTTCAGAGTTTTTTAATCTCCAAGTGCATTCAGCATATTTTTTTTAATGAAGCAAAGAAACCAATTTTTAGAAAAAGTTAATTTTGATGCATTAAGTCAAAAGCCTCAGAGTCAGACTCGGCAGAGCAGAAACATATTTCCATGTAAAACACGTAATCACAATCTCTGCAGCTACATGTAGGCTACACATTTACCATGTTTACAATGTACATGATATACATGTATATACAATTTAATACAATTCTAACTTGTTAATTAACAACATGCCATGGCCTAGCCCCAGACTGGGGGCCAGTCTTGAACTCCCTCCGTATCCCAGGCTCCACAGCTGTCAATTCAAAAAGTGGGGACTCAGCAAAAATGCCTTCCATGAAACCCCTTTTGCTTGTATGGATCACCGACCCCATCAATACTCTGAAAGTCTGTTGTATTACTTTGGCCAATTTCCAATTTGTAGAAATCTATAAATTTTTGTGACTAACTCTAACTGACCGATGCCAAACACAATCGGGATCTGTTTGGTCCGGGACCCACACAGCGTTATTACATGTACAGTATGTAAGTACACGTCGATCCCCAGAGCATAACATTGCCAATAAATGTTGATGGATGATGAACCGAAATGCATACGATGCTTTGGATCCAGTGTGAACTCGTTGCTAGAACAGCGTGGCATGTGTGGAGCGTACACCATTCGCTCGTCCAATCCCCATCCCACACGATGTTGACACACCCATGAAAACACCCGACAGCTGTTTTTTTTGACACATTCATTGCATTCACGCATACACACAAGGCTTCATTTCGAGTGATACACAGTCGCTGATAAAACATCAGTTCAGATCACCATCTCTAATGCTGTCTGGATCCAAGACCAAACAGATCCTGACTGTGTTTGGCATTGGTCAGCGATTGGAAGTAGTTGCCAGGTCCCTAATTTTGCCACATATTGTCAAGGTTGTTAATACCGCCAGAACTGTGGGGTCCGATGTCCGCCCCGCTCCCCCGTTGGGGAGCAGGCCAGACGTCGGACCCCACAATTCTTGAACATTACGTCACTTGACCCCTCATCGTCTCGACGGCTGTTCCATGTCAAGACGTCTAAACTGCTGCCAAAGTTTTGGAAGAGCCCATAGGTACATGTAGTACCATTGTAGCTCTATGGTAGTACAGTGTATCTTATCGCTCAGTCTGTTTATTACGTATGTCTTGACATGGAACAGCCGTCGAGACGATGAGGGGTCAAGTGACATATTGTTCAACGATCTTATTTTAAAGATTGAGACTGAGAGAGTGAGCCTGTTAGATTGAATGGATGAAGGCAAAAAGATTGGAAAATTCCTGAAAAATGTGAGTGAAATCATTCAATAAATGGTTTTTAGAGAACAGAAAGGTCAAGGATCATGTCCGTGAGCAAAAGAAATTGCGCCCAAGATGATAAGTGGTTGCGCCGAAAATGTTCAGTACGCCGACACGAAATTGCGTATACGGATGTGTGGCTAAGGCCTTCAGGATGGATCGGGAGTGAGAGTCCGTGCCACACTAGTAGTACTAGTAGTGGGGCTAGGCTAAAAGTTAAATTTTTTTTTCGTAGAATCAGATTAGGCCTAGGCCTAAATCCAAACTCTCTCGTGACTAACTCTCCAACAGTAAGTTTCGCATCAAAACAAACCAAGCACAAACCTGAAATAATTCAACTGAAGCATAAGCGTTTCATCGACATCTTCAGGATACTATCTGTGCACTGTATATAGGCCTATGCTTATGAACGGACGGGTTATGGAGATGAGTTGAAATGTTTATGAGTGGTTACAGATATCGATTCTATTTTTTCGACCATTAGGCTATCGATAAATTTAGCAGTAATGCAAGACTGCATAGAAACCATTATTTAGTATCGATACTATCTTATGCCAAAAACCCGTGAGAAATAGTCAGGTTCCTACTGCAAGGTAGGAAAATAGTTGTTGAAGATTGTCGTGTGAGAATTGGGTTCAATACCATACAATATTAATACTGCACGTGTGTTCCGTGAACACGGAAAGAAAAGTGGAAAAATGGTGAGTTGTCCCGTTAAATTTTAAGGCTGTATACAAATTCGTAGATCTTTGGCCTCGTCAATTCTATATCAAGATGTGTGCCTTAAGTAGTTCCTGTTTGGCGAAAATAAAAGGGTGCTTCAGTCATCATGGTTATGATCGATGTGGGCGATGTGGACATGATGGAGATGGGCGATGTGAAGATTGGGCGAAGTGGTCAGGGACGACCTGGAAATGGTCAGTAGAATGCTGGTCAACTCGTACATGTGCCAACTCGTATGCCAACTGACTCGTGTCGACACTTGTAGTCGTACAGTTATTAGTACAAGTACCAGTGACTACAACACCAAAAAATAAATTAAAAATTGTCATGACATCTGGCAGTGGTACCACTACCAGATATCAAATCACTGAATAATACATACTCCATCATGCATTGAAAAAGACCGCTATACGTCACCACAACACATGGTTAATGTGAAAGTTGAGAGCCTGGCCTCAGGTGGTGTGCAAATTCAAATTTGTGTGCTCAATTTTGCCCATTGCAAGGTTAAACTTTGTGTACAAAGTTAAAGTTTGCAAGGTTGCCATGGCGAGGCGGCATGTACATGTAAGGTGGCGTGGTGCATGCATCATCCATGTCATCCACAGTACTGATAATTCATTCAACTATAGAAATTAATAAATCCTTATTTCAGTGACTTTGTCTTCTCACTGCCCCTTATTTACATTTAAGTCCAAAGAAAAAAAAATGGAACATTTATTCTGTAATTTCACAAAGATGATGATGTCAGATTTATTCACATATTCACATCAAAAGCTTCCTAATATCTTAACTCCAAAAGTTTTGGGGAGAGCAGAATCCACCTCCGCGTGACTTTCTTTTCTGATATCCCTGCAGTGGAATTTTTTTTCATGAGCCAAGCCTTTAGGAGTGTTTTCAGTAACTTCAGCAGTCATTTTGACACTAATTGTGTGAAAATCAAACATACCATTCTCGAACAGTGCAGACTTGTAATGCTTAACCACTCGGTGTCAGGGTTCTGAGTATCGGAGACCTTGTCATTGTATGCATAGCCGGACAAAGGAGCTGGGCCTTGTAACAGAAGACTGTACTCGGAACAATAGACCGAGCTGCTGGGAATTGCCAATCAATATTCATGTGCTGTCAGCACATAGTGCTGGCATTAGCGGAGGTAATCCATCATTGTTTTGAAACAGTATAAATAGCATCGATTGCGGCATTCAGCGCTTGTAGACTATCAGTGGGGACAAAAGTGCTCCAGCACTCCAGAGATGAGCGATACAATACCGGTGCTAATCTGGCCACATTTGTAAAGACACCACTACCATTCAGCAATGCACTGGCCAATTTCGGGAATAAAAGAAATTACGCCACTCTGCACAATGTGGGCTCTCTTTACTGGGCGGCAGGCCTGGCTGCAATTCTTGGGTGGCAGGCCTGGCTGCAATTCTTGGGAATCAGATTACAGTAGCTACCAGAAAATCACATGTGTGGGTGTAAGTGTCCAGTAAATGAAGATATGAATTTTTGAAGAATTTTGAAAATGGAACATCTTAAAAATCGCCTGGCAATTCATCCCCCAAGTGCAAATTTCACCCGGCAGGAAAGTGGTTAATGCCACAGCATCAACTGCCGGTACAATGGGAGGATATTTCAAAGGAGGAGGGAAGGAAGGGAGAGTGGTGAGATGAATTCATTAAACTCTGCCCCCTTTGTAGGATTCTAGGACCTGCCAGGTGCCCGGGACCATGCAATCCAGTAACAAGTGTTGGGGAAGGGAGAGCTACTGATCCTTGCTTCTGCTGCCATTGCGCAGTATTCGTGTACATTGTACCTGCATGTTATCTTCATATGCGTTTGTGCAATTGTGTTGCAGGGTAAGGATAAAAGAAGTAAGAAATATGCTACTATGAAGCGAATGATATCTTTGCGAGATGCAAGAATGTAAGTATCAAGGCTGGATCATCATACATTATTCAAATTGTATGCAAATAAGACAATATCAAGGCACTGCCCTTTTGCCCAATCAGTTGTATTCCTAAAGGACCATAAAGTGATAAATGTCAAAGATGTCATAGAAATACTTGGTTAGACTTAGGTAAAGGATGTTCGGCCATTAATTCTGAGGTAATACGAAGGACTGAAGGTTTAATGAGTTTGGCTGTGCGTGAAAGAAGATATGTGCAGCTTTTGTCACAGTTGTAGAGGCAATAAAATGCCATGGTACCTTTTTGATTTAGTGTAGTTCATTTCTGATTGGTGTAAATATAATGGGTTTTGAGAATTGCTCACTCGCCGACACCCTGCAGATGACGATCACAGAATTCACGTTATACAGTACTTTTAGTACATGCAAACCTACCACTTCAACACCAGTTACTGGTACTTTGCAGATGCAACCGCTATGCAAACTTTGGTGTGCACTTTTCTGGTAGGTGTTTCCTTTGATGCATTCACTTATGTAGAATCAGAGGATGGCCGACCTTGCTCCTCTTGTGCAGATAAACATTCTTGCATAGCATATCCATGGGGAGGGGCTTGGGAGATCAAACTTCACAGACATGACTCTGTAGAATTTCAGGCATTCACAGCCACATCATGTTCTCTCTTGACAATTCAGTCAGGAAAAGGACAGACTGAAGAAGAAGCCACCACCCAAATGGAAGCAAGACAAAGAAGCCACGATCAAGGAGCGAGAGGTCCCCCAGTACTCCTCGGCGCTGTTTTCAAGTACAACACCCAGCTGGGACCGCCCTACTACGTGCTGGTGGACACCAACTTTGTCAATTTCTCCATCAAGAACAAGATTGACGTGGTACAGGGCATGATGGATTGCCTCTACGCAAAATGCAAGTGGTGTGAATTCTCATGTTCCATTTACTGGATCTTACGATCGTATAGACCTCTATCTTGGGGCAGCCATCTTGCTTTTCTACCATTTAAAGCAATTTTACCAAACTAAGGCTGGAAGGAAAATAGTCAGTTTTCTTTTATCAATATGTGAAGTTGAATTACTTTTGCCAGTGAGTCTAAAGGGGTTACATTTGCTGATGAAAACATATCAGACATTTCTCATCCGTTGCCATGGAAACACTGCAGAAATACTGGTGTCTAAAGTATTTGCCGTGCCATTTTTGTGATTTTTTTGGTCCATTTCAGGTATTCCATGCATTACAGACTGTGTGATGGGTGAAATCGAGAAACTAGGTAGGAAATACAACGTAGCCCTTCGGACAGTCAAAGACGAGAGGTTTGAACGATTACCATGTATGCATCAGGGGACATATGCCGATGACTGCTTAGTACAGAGAGTAACGCAGGTATGATATGAAACAGCTGGGAAATGAAATCAGCCAAACATCACAATCTTGAGGAACACTGGGTTGCTGAGATCTGGCGTTATTTATCTCAAACTTCCATCTCTGGAAAAGGGCTCATTTATTGTTACATTTGTAACACATTTTGACTTCTTGTTTTGGGACGTAGCTATAAAAGCAAGTCAAAACCCCATTTGATGTGGTTAAAGGCTGAAAACCCCTTTACTTGAGAAACAAAATCATCAGCAAGCATCTAGAACTCCATCTCCCAATTTGGAAAGATTTGCACCCTGAAAAAAAAAAGAATTACAAATTGTTGCAACCATTTTTCATAAACCAGAATGAGAAACTATTTTATTTATTCGTCCTTAATACCAAATACCTACATGTACATATCCAGTTTGAAGTATTTTGTTTTCTATTACTTTATAGCACAAATGCTACATAGTTGCCACCTGCGATCGGGATCTCAAAAGAAGAATACGAAAAATCCCAGGAGTCCCCATCATGTTTCTCTCACAGAAAAGGTGGGTGGATTAACAATCACTGGCCAGGTATTTCGCTGAATGTCTGTGAACCATTATACCCTCCCCGATTATTCATAATACTGTATTGCTCGAAGTTTAGAAGATTTTGCAGGGGTTGATGCTGCGGTACAACATTGTCTGCGACTTTTTGTTTTCAATGGGCATAGTGCAACATAAGGCTAGTTTCCCCTGAATAATACAGGAAAGCATCCCAAGTACTTGTCGTCAATATCTCAGATGTTAGACCCGTGATTTCCTTGGGTTCATTGATACTTTCCTTTTACCATTGTTAAGAGGAACGCTTACACGTAGTGCCTGAGTTGTCAATGTCATATCATCAGGAGAGACAATTAACATTTCTTACAGCAGTAAATAACTTGGTATTGAACAGTTCCAGTAAACTGCAGGTTTCTTTTATTTAAACATGAACGTGCGGCATATTTTAACATGAAGCACATTTTCCTTTGTATTTCAACAGTTATATGAACAGGCAAATGTAGACAAGTACTTAACTTTCATGGATGTGTAAAGTGTTGTTCACGTAAATCACAAATCTAGAATTAAGAAGAGGAGATATTCAGGAATAAAAAATGTGGTTTTGAACATTTCTGTAATCGTATATAGACATTCCTGATAGTGGCCTCATGTTGTACAACTTGTTTCAGCATCCATACAGGCATAGCCAGAGTGACATTGTTGCACCGTGGCACTTACATGTAGCGGGTACATGGTCAAGAAATTGAACTGTTCCAACAAAAGTACACCGAGTAAAGTTGGCATTTTGGCTGATGGATACATATGTACTTGTAATAAGTGGAAAAAACATGTGACTAAGTCTCTAACATGGGCGTCGCCAGGCTATTGGGGGGGGAAGCTCTTATCAGCAATAAACTGATAAACCATTAACAATGGGAGGTGGTTAAGTTGAAGTTTTTTTCAAGCACATTGGTGATATTTGTCCCCTATCATCTCATTTCTTACACTTTCTTCCCTTTTTATTTTTTGAATTTTTTTCTGGGGGGCAAGCACCCATCTTCTCCTCTACCAAGACGCCCATTGTCTTTAATGAACTGGACAGAATACACATTCACACATAGTGAATGGAATTTGGATATACCATTGCTGACACATATTTTAATCTGTCTTCTATAGGTGCACTATTGAACGGATGCCGGATGCGTTTGGAGCACCCAAATTGTGATAGCCAGCTAAAGCACATGTGACATACGGTAGCCGGCTGGGCAGTGACTTGGCGTACAACCTTCAGTCAGCTTTCTAGGCAATACAGAACTTTAATTGAAGCCAACTGCAGGACTAGTCTACATGTACTCGTAGCTATTGGGCAGAAGTTAGTTGTTACAGGCCATTGTAGAATACTTCGATAGAAATACTAAGGTCTTTGGGTGGCAGATTGGAGTATCATTTAGGACCAATTTCAAGTTCAATTCATGGTTCATCGTTAGTCAGCCCCTGTTTTAATGCCAACATGCATGCGAGATACTGTCCTGCTCAAAATATCCCTTTCTTTGATAACATCAAGCCATCGCTTGTCTTTTGAATACCAGCGATGCGACTGTGCCCAGACACAAGCTCCAAACAGTCAAGTAGTTTCCCCGTTTCGTGTTCAAGTGAAAGTAGCAAAACTGAGAATCACAGTTTGCACTCAAACTTCCCTACAATAACCACTTTTGTCAATGACAGCACCGCACCAGTTCCCTTGGGGTTAAACAGAAAGTGGGTAATTCCAGAAATTAAGGGTCCAAAAGTCTGACATTTTTGTGTCCCTTTTACATCCGATCCGTTCTCTGAAATGGAAATACCACAATTGATTTCATACTGTTACTATTTGTTTGGCAGATAAGTTACTTTAATTCATTACTATTGGAAATTAGAAAATTTGTTCTGAACTTACAAAGTCATATGTCACGTGACCGGGACACGAAAAAACAGGGAACCCTAACTTCTGGAAACTCAGGTACATTTGTTCAAACCAAATAAATTTAATGTTCAAAAGTATAAAATGGGTGATCGTTTCTGTGAACCCTAGGAAAGCTTACGCAACTTTCCCCCCAAAAACGTTCATTTTCTTATTTCAAGTAAGAGACCGATTGTCTTAAACATAAATTGCTGATGATCTCAACAAATTTTGCCATAATCTTTGGAACTTTTTAGGATTAGCACACCATAAAAATAATTGTTCCTCAAAAAGTTACTTGTGAAATGGCCAGCCAAATGCACAGTAGTCCATAGGTGTCCAATGTGGGTAGGACTTCCCAAGTACAGAACATTGTTACCTGTACTAGGCCACTAACCACTTTGCACGGTGAAGCCCGGTACCGGAGACATAGTGTGTGGCCAACAAGGTTGGGGTGCTCTCTTTCGGAGCTTTCTTTAAGACAAAAATAATGTTGCTGGCCGTTTTTAGAAGAGGTTACTTACTGTAAGTACGTGCAGTAAGTTTGAGCCATCAGCGAAGGTAATTCCATCATTGAGTTGCAACAGTGGCTTCACTGGACCAGAAAACTGGGCCTTTACTCACTTGGAAACAAAAGACCGAATTGCTGGGATTTGCCATTGAAGGTTCGTACAGTAGCTGGCAGTGCAGAGTGCTGGCCATTAGCAGAGGTAAACTGTCATTGAAATAAGGCTCTTGCCCATATCCAACTCATATTTATATTTAAATAATCTGTCATTGTTTTGAAACAGTATCATTGTTTGCCGCTGCCAGCACCAGTGGATTATAAGCGTGGACGAAAGCACTTGCTCCAGTGATTAGCGATACAATACTGCTGAGCACTCGTGAAATCTGGCCGCATTGTGCAGTTTTGTTATGCCCATGTGCTTGTTGAATGGCCCGGTTCAGCTTCATGGCCCACGTGTTCTGCATAGCAGCAGCGGCCGTCCAATGGAGCAATGCACTGGGCTAATTCCCTGAACTAAGAGGAAATCATGTGACTCCGCATAAGGGGGCTCTTTACTAGGCAGCATGCATGACTGAAATACTTGCGCGTCAATGGAGGTTGCCTGTCAGATTAGAGTCACCACAAGACAGTCATTCTTTTGGGTGTACACGTGCAGTAAATAAAGATATGAATTTTTGAAGAAAAACAAAAAAACGAAAAAAAGTTCCCCGCCCAGCAGCCTCAACATCAGAAAGTGCCTGGCAGGAAGTGGTATAAAATATCATCACTCAAGTTTTGGGGATCCTATTTTGACATCTTCATTCATCATATTTATTTTACTATTTCTGAAAATAACAACATTGGCAAGTTTTGGGGAATCTTGGTCAACTAGTTCGCTTTTCATTTTTCTTATGCTTCTTTATTCTTTCTGGAAATCAGGCTTCAAAAATGTATTTTACAATAAATCAATTTCCCAAATGGTATGAAAAATATGTCCAGCTTTGTTATGAAATGTCCGTGTTTCCTTCCACAACCAGTTCATGGTATCCCGTCTCTTTATCCATTTCTCTCTTGAATACAACCTGGGGAAGTTGTCCTATCAAGATCTCTGCTGTAGTGAAAACCTCCATGTTGCCTATAACATGCCCTCCTACAACCTGCCAAGCCATGATAAATGTGAAAAAAACATTGGAGATGGTAACAAGATCTGATGAGCATCAAGTAAGACCAGCTTTGAGGATAGTGCATGTAACAATTAAAAATATCACACACCTGCAGCACAGACTTAGAAAGACTTACATGAGGGTCATGTTATAAATAAGGTGCCCAGTTTTTTCCTGTCTCCGTTACATCTGTCGAGTGATTTTGTAAGTTTAGAACATATTCGTAAATTTCCACAAACAATTTAGTAATACAAATTGCCTACCAAACATAAAGTTCAAGATATAACAGTGACAGAAAAGTTAAAAAATGGCACATGTACCATGATACAGTTTCTGAAAGGACTCATGAAGGGGGGGTCTTGTCTAGAAATACTTTTGCCCCCAAAAGAACAGTTAAAATCTGTTGGGCATTCTCTGGAGGGAGGACAGGTTAGTGCTAACTGGCTCTTGCGGTGCTGGGCAACACTGCACTTCAACGATTTCAAAACTGAAGGTGCACATAAATATAACCCAAGTTGTAAAGTGAACCAATCATATCACGCTTCTATAAAAAAACCTTGGCATGGAACCAACAAGTCCTTCTGTAGAGGGTGCAGTCCACTAATTCAAGTGAGAATTTCTGCCCAGCTCATTAGCATGAAAAGTGCCCCCCCTCCCGTTTCTTTTGAAAAAGGAGATTGTTTGGTCCCCAAAATGGTGAGAACTCCCTGGGACTTTGGGCTTCCAGCTGAGACCAGAATGGATTAAAAAATGGTCTTAAGTGGCCAAGAAAGTTGAGGGCTGCCAGCTGAAAAATGGCTACATGCAAAATTCGGAAATATCACTTTTCAGGGCATGATTTTGTTTAATGTGAATAGTTTAAAATGTAATCAGTTAACCCACAAAAAAATTTGAAAAGAAATTAAAGATTAGGGACTAGACAATAATTTCATTTGTTTCAGAGCCCCAAGAGATGTTGGTATGCATGCACTTTGGGCCCTGAATAATGCTGATTTTACACTGTCTTCAATGGAGTTTGAATTGGTGGACTGCACCCTTTAAGGTACATTCAACTCAACACTCCCTCTCCTTAAAGACCATCGACTGCACTTGGCGCAATAGTCCACATGAGACAACTTAGTACTTTCAACATTCTCTGGCAATGGGGGAGGGGGCAACATACCTTCCCTTCTTCATCTGCCAGGGAAGCATGAAGGTGCATACCAGCAGTGGATACTGTCCCGACCAGTGACACAATCTCATGATTAGTGTTAAGCTTCACCACCTGGAAATAGTACATTTTCCCCCAAATTATTTCACCACAGCCGGTCTACAAGTAGTAGAAGAACTGATACGTGGAAGGCAATCAACGATAATGTCTCATTTCAAAACTCACTCCAGGTATGCATTAGATTTAAAAGTTAAAGGTATGCAGCATTTTATAAGTTTTTAAGTATCACTCTTGCTACCAGATATCTGGTCACAAGAACATTTTTGCCCATAAAACTAGGTCTATTATTTGCCACATGACCCCAAACCATTTTCTAGATGGGTCACTCCATGAGGTTGGGGCACAATTTGTGACGGTGTCCTTGTTAATGGGTAACTTTTACCACCTGTCATGACCTGTAGAGTAGGAAATTTACTCTGTAAAAATAACACACACCTCTGTATTCAGCCTTACAAAGATATATAACAATGTCAATTTGGAATCCACATTTGGAATCCACATGCAGGGAGATAGCTGTTCATTTTTACGGAACCCATGTAACAATTGACACTGTCACAAAAAATTCTGCCCTAACCTCATGGAATGACCCAGATACCACGATCTAGCACATGTCCAGATGAATACACACTCCTTCATCACATCTTTAATGCTATAGTGAGACCTACACTGTGTACAATGTACATGCAGTTTGCGATGCATGCATTTGAGAATGAGACGTGTGGCTGAAGGTTGGCCGTAACAAATCACCCAGTTGGTTCTTTTTTTAAATCATGTACTCATAAAAAAGTTATCCCTCAAGTCATGAAGTGGGGATTATCAATGAACAAAAACCATAGAGGCTTAACAGGCTAACTGATGAAGTACACAGAAAAAGCTAACTGGTTCTCATGCCCAGTTCATCTGTTCACAGTTAGAAATCAGTGCACTCCAGGCAAAGAAGGTATGATTGAGTTTAACGTCAAATATGAAGAGAGAGTGGGCCTCTTCATAACACTGTAGATTTTGAAAAGAGGGGTAGGCAGTCTAGAAATGAGAACATTAATCATGCAGGAATGTGTACTATCCTCGCCCATTAGCCCTAAATCTGTCAGCAGCCAATAACCTTAACCACTTCGTGCCGGGGGGGGGCATTTTTCAATGTTGATGATGCTGGGCCGGCATGACTAGCATTTTTTCCGTTGTCAAAATCCTTCAAAAATTCATCATTCCATTTAACCGTCGTTTATAGCCGCACCAAGTAATCTTCAGGCACTACTCTAAAGTTGACAGGTGACCTTCATTGACG